GTGGTGAACTGACCACACTCTCCATCCTCTGTCGTCCTGCTCCTGTGTGAGGTGGAGGTAAAGAAAATGGAAGTGAAATTAAACTTGGGAAGAATAGAGGAGATGGGGGAAGGTGTTTTAAGATTTGCTTTTATTTCTCATTATTCTACTCTGATCTGATTGGTAATAAGGTCATTTCCCTAAGTCGTGTCTCTTTTGCCTGTGATGGTGATTGCTGCCTGCCTTTATTCCAATCCACAAGCCTTTTGTTCTGTTTTCTGTCCCTTATTCAAGTGAACAGGGGAGTGGCAGAGTAGCTTTGGTGGGCACCTGATATCCATCCAGGGCCACCCCACCACACACTGTCATCAAAGGATATTTTATTGCCTGAACATTTCAGCTGAAATTATCCCTTAGATGAGACATAGACCCAATGGCACAAGACTATCTGAATATATCTGAAGGCTGTAAGTGTTTCTCCAGTTCCACTAGTAACCTTTCATCAAAGCACAGCCCAGGGATTCTTGTAGGGAGAAACAGGCTTTTCCCACTTGTGAGCAATGGATAATGGATAGTGAATGCCTTTGCTGACAGCTATTTTTGTGTTACATAGGACTAATTTGCAGTTTGGGTACAGAGTAGGCAGAGGTACAGCAAGGAATGTTGAGCAGATGTGACAGAGCGATAACATCCTTAGCATAATCCAGTATCACACAGTTGTGGAGCACTATAAATACAACAGGAATTCTCCAAGGCCCAATTCCTTCAAGAGAGTTGGGCATCTCTGCATTGCCATGGACATAGGCTGCACTAAATCAGCATAATCCTCAGGCTTTGTTTATTTGTGCACTTTTGTGAATGCTCCTTGGAGGTTATAAGCATCATTGTGAGCAATGTTATTGGTTGTACATAATGAGGCAGTTTTTGACAGCTTTTGGATTGATGTTTTGATTTATTCACTACATGAAGAATTCATAATTACAGGCAAAACATTTCTCTTGTACTGCTGTACAACATCCTTTTCAGGTGTTTGTTTGGGCCTTGGTAACGTGCTCTTACAATGTATTTAATGGGATGAATCTGTGTTAATAGCCAGACTGTACAAGGACTGTAGCTTCTTAAAAATCACCTGAGAAAAATTTTCTGAGGCTCACTAACAACATCAGTTTCTGGAGGCAGAGCCCTCTCATGTTCTTCCATAATTGTGGTTGCTCTTGCCCAGGAGGACAGGCTGGGAGGGCGAAGGCTGAGCAAAAGATTGCCCTGGAACAAGGCAGTGCAACTGCTGCCTCTTTGTGAACTGCAGCTTTTGGCCTCTTGGCCTCCAAATTTTTTTGGTGAGCAAGTCATCTTATTGTATAAGTGAAATGCATCCTCATAGCCTGTGCATGATGGATAGGAAAAGGCTTTACACACTGGAAAGGCTGTTGAACAATATAGTTTCCACTTACAAAGCACTTTCCTTAAAAAGCTTCTCAGGGCAGCATCGTATAAAAATAGTTATACTAAAGTTGTGAACCAGCTTCTGACAAATCAGGACTAACAAAAGCTAAGGTATAAATAGAAGTGTTTTCATGGGTTTTCTCTTCTCTAGAGGCACACAGTCTCAATCAGTGCTGGATTGTAAGAAACAAAAATGCCCTTTTCCAGACACACAGGAAAACAAGGACCTTACAGACTAGTGGCACAGAATATAAATAGGTTTTCAAATCTGCTTCAAACCCATAAAAATTAGACAAAACCATGACATTTGTATTTAAGAATGAGCCACAGCATATCAAACAATTTTAAAATCCATTTATTTTATTTCAAACAAACTAGCATCTTCAGCTTTACAGAAAGGTTAAATACATTATACTTTCATAATTATGGAATGAATTGTCTCCAGGCACTCAAGGATATGAGGATTATCTCAAAGTCTGCAGCATATTAGAATTCCCGGAAGACAAATGCTGAAGAATGTAAAATATTACATACTCTGTATTTATATTTTGTCAGTGGGCACTCTCAATGTACCTTACTAGTAATTTTCAAATTAATTTTTTTGTGAAGTAGGTTAGAATTATTTTTCTTAGAGCGATTTTGAAACAGCTAAATGTAAATCTACTATTTGCTATTCCAGTGTGTGTAATCTTGATTTTACTCTGAGCCTGTTCCTTCTAGTGCTCTGTGCAAATCTTTTCTGAATCTACCAAACCCAATGTACTTTAATCCACAATACCAAAGAAGGAAGGTCTGTTTCTGTAAGCCAAAAATAGCTCTTACTGCACTTAACCTTGCAGCTGAACCAGTTGTGCTATTGCTCTTTTAGTCAGTCATGTTTGACCAGTCACGTCTGCACAGACCAGAAGCAAGGCTGAGCAGGGTATCTACATAATCAGTCTGATGCATGACACTGTTCTCAGTGCAGCAGCTCCTCTGTGGAAATCCCCCCTCACAAAACATTCACTTACCAAAAACTGCATTTATTATACCCTTTGGGTCTGTGATAGCTGGGCTTTGCTGATACTGACTGCTTCAGTCTCTGCATGGGAAGTGAGGATTTCAGAAAAAGTTTACTGGGATCAAGTCCTTCTGTATATTCTCCAATCACCCTGTAATCTTTTCTCTTGCAAAAAAAATGCTAGGGGGCCTTATTCCATTCTAGATGGGAGTCTGCTGTTCTCTCCCTTTTCTGCTTTCAGAGTCACTTATCATTGTTCAGTCACACTAAAAGGGACATCCCCAGCCTTCTCACAACCTCAGAGCATCACCTATGAGCAGAGAGCCACTGTAACATTGCAGGGAGAACTTACGCTCCATCTCACTGGCACACAGACTAAGGCCTGGGTGACACGTGGTTAGTCTTTTTGGTTCCTGTAGCCAACAGTGCAGCAATTATTAAAGAAAAAAACAGAAAGACACTATTCTGCTCCATGCTGCTGCCAGGTAACAGATTATGCCATTTGACACCAGATATGCTGAGAATTACTCATTAAAATATTTGGCTACTTCACTTTCCCAGTGATCACTGTAAAAAATGTTCTTCCTGCTAGAGCTACAGCAGAACAGATCTGCATGCTGAAATCCCACTCCTGTCTGTAACAACAGCACCAAAATAGCTTTAATAATTAATCATGCAGTGATTAGATTACAAACTCTGAGGTGGGATGGAGATTTTTGTATTATGCATCAGACAAAAGACACTGGCAATGCTTAACTAGCAGTCACCTGCTCCTGCTCCACCTGCCATTGTGGGAACACTCCGGAAACCAGAAGGGAGACAAAGGCCCAACAGAAATTGATAAAAACCTTCACCTGCCCCTGGCATGTTCAGGAATACAGAACTGTTGAAACAGGTGCTGCTACAGCTGCATGCAGGGGTACAGCTTTGCTTATTAACTTGTCATTTGCCAGGCCATGGTGTCCATTGTATCCTGACAGAAGACAGCGTTCAAACTCCAGGCCAAGCAAGAGTTAAGCAGGGAGTTTTCTGACTGGAAACACCAGTGCAAACAGCCACTGTGGCAGGGCTGGGCAAGGAGAGGCCAGGCATGGGGTAGGGCCCCTGTCCTGTGCTCACCCCTGTTAGGGTCCCTTGCAGTGCCCATGCTGCTCTGCCCTGTCAGCTGCTTGCAACATTAGAAACAAATTTCTGTGGAAGTGGCATAGTTTTGCTGGAATGATTTTATATGCAGCTGATTTCAAGGCAAGTAAGACTATAAGACTGAGAAACACTAGTATTCAAAATTGGAATATTACTTCCAATCTAAACTTCCATTAGAAATTTTGCTGAGCTGTTTTGACAGTTTTTCCAGGCCCTTTGCTCTTGTCGCATGACTCTTGGGGCCTGTTTATTACAACTACAGAGGCAAAATCCCTCAGGGAAGGTAGTCCATATGCTGGATCTGGAATGAAATAAGATAATACTAGCGTGTCTACTTTAATGCCTTCACTGGTATAAAAATATGATTAAAAAGGGACCTTAGGACCAGTTTTACGGCACCAACAAGAACTGGTATTAGTCTGGCCTCAGAAATCAAGAGAGTTTTAGGGGAGGAGAGGGAAAGAACACTGTGGACTGAAATGAGCAAATCAAGTTAAACATGACCATCAATCAAGTTAAATTTTGCCAGTTGCTGGGGACACTTCACAGCACTGAACAGCTAAACAACAGTTATTGTTAAGAAGCGCTTGGGAGGCAAACAGCTGTCACTCCCTGCTGACCAGAGCACAACCAGCGGGATCTGGGCACAAGGGTCAGAGCAAGCTGGGGTGTGGCTGGTGCCCATGTGGGACAGATGTACTCCCTGCCTCCCCAGGGCTCCCACGGGGCACACAGGGCATGGCTTGGGAACGATGGGTAGCTCAGGAGGCCCGTGGCTGCCAGAGCTCCCAGTGAATGTCACTGTCCTCATCCTCCATGGTCAAATTCAGCACAGGTGGCAAAGCTTGCCCCAGGAATAAAAGTGATTTATGTGATAGACACAATACTAGTTTTTAATGACAGTGGGATCTTTTTAATAAACAACAGCTAAGTTCTGGAAGTGTCAAAACATATCCCTCTGCAACTAGGAATTTACAGACACCACAAGCTACATGGCTTATTTTTTCCTCCCCCTTTACATTGCCCCTTCTACCACTGACCTTTATAAAAAGCAGAAGTTAAATAAGAGAAAAATAGCTTTAATGAAACATCAAGGTTGAGAAATCAAAATCAGACACTCCAGCAACAGGAAGTTTCAAAAACAGTGTTTATAACAGCATCTTGCAGAACTGTGGCACGCTTGCTTGGCTTTTTCCTTAAGTTTTAAGCAATATTATAGTGTGTACCTTGACACAGCAGCTGGGCACAAGGATAGTATTGTGGCATTAGTTTAACTTTGCAAAATTTCCTAGGCATAGAAAAGTGTATTGAACTCAACCCCTGAACAATTTCCTGACCCCTGCAATCAGTGCTACAACTTGTGTCTTTCCGGTAAAGGCATCTGAATTGTTTCCCTGTGCAAATACACTTCAGCTTGTTTGTTATTTTATTCTAGGGCGCTGGAGACAGTTTTGTGGGAGCACTGGCATTCTACCTGGCCTACTATCCCAACTTATCCATGGAGGAAATGATCAGGAAGTCTAACTGCGTCGCATCAGTGAGCGTCCAGGCACCGGGGACACAATCTTCATATCCTTACAGGAAGGACTTGCCTCAGGACCTTTTCTAATTGATTGTCTAGCTTGCTGTACTGATTTTATCTCATACCAGACAGCATTATTCTCCTGACTGAACTGAGGTTCTGGAAAAGCCAACAGAGTCTCTGCTTCTCATTTCAGGAATCCTGTGTGTTCCTGTTCTACTGCAGTAAGATGGGGTGCGGGTGGTGGGTCTTTCAAACACAGCTCAGCAGGTCTCTCTGGCCCCACAGTGTGCTCTATTGAACTACATGAAGTTTACAGAAAAACACCTGGAGGGTATTGGGCTCCTGACAGAATTTGTACTTGATTTTATCAGAACTGCTTGTGTGAAATGGGAGCACATGAAGCAGGGGGACTACACCTTGTAGCTTTGGGACTACACCTTCAGTGCTCAAACACCAGGGCCGGTGTTTGGCTCACAACAAAGCCCCAAACATCGAGCCTGTGCCCACCTTTGCCCACGTGCCTCAGGTGTGGCACTGCACTCTGTGCTTCCCACACTCAGGCAGGTCCCTCCAACTGCAAACAGGACAGGACTGCTACTGAGGTAGACTTTGAAAAATGTTTCTAGCCACATTGCTCTAAACACAGGCAAGCTAATTAAGGAAGAAAAGCTTACAAGAACATCAGGGAACTACCTTGTCTGTTTTCTTCATGTTTGACAAAAACCCAGGAATGAAAAATCCATCCTACTAACCTGGCTGAAAATAATACAGGCCTTTAACCTGGTTAATAGCTTCTCCAAAAACTCATCTAGGTTCCCATTCCTTCTTTCCTCAGAAGGAGCTGGTGCAACATTACCCCTCCAAGTAATGACACCAGCTCGTGGTCACTACTGTCGCATCTGTGGCTGGTAGGTTAGAAAAACTTGCAATCCTGCCATTGAATTCCTGCTGTGGAAAATGTTAATTTTTATTGCTTTATAAAACAATAGTTCCTTTGAAGATTACAGCCTCTTTCACAATAGAAAACACAGACAATGGGATTTGCTATTTAATTTTTTTTAATTGAGCACTGTAAAAATAACTCAAAAGATAAATAAATGTTACTGTGATGATCTATGTCCAGACATTAAGAATTTTCTCTCTCTACATTGTTTTATTCACAATGGCCTTCAAATCACAGGAGACGGTGATCCCAGTTCATTTCCTCTCTTTTCAGCCCATGTTGCTGGATTTCTGAATCAGTGTTCACCCCATCCTCCCCCCAGACCATCCTCTTCTCATGTGTAAATCAAGTCCAGTCATTGTTCACACAGAACGGATTTTTCTCTTCTCTGTGAAGAGGACACGTTGTTTTGCTACAGGAGGGAAAAAAAAGAGAAAAAGGAATCCGTTAAGAAGCCTGAAGTGTTAAAATTCAATTCAACCAGCCCACGTCCCTTTTCTCCTGGCTGCCTTCACTGCTTAAATGAGTGTGGAGCAACTGACTGGCACAGCACTGTTGTTAACCAACTCTTGAAGGAGTTTCGTGGTGCTTTCACTTTACCACATGTAATTTTTAGTTCCTAAGATGTCCACTTTACCTCTGTGAGAATAAGTGTCAGAATGCAAGTGACTGAAAACACTCAACAGCTGCTCTGTGTGACTATTCTGAGTCACAGCTGTTCAATGTAGGGACAAAAATAGGTTCTTTCTGCTTTCTACTACTCTTCAACTCCAGAGCCCAAACAACTACAGATGATGAGTTGGATCTAGTTGGCCTCACAGACTGACTGAGAACTTAACCAATTGTCCTGTGGATCTCTCAGCAAGGTACAAACTGGCTGTGACCACAATGCCTGATGCAGGTGTTTGCAAAAAAAACCTCCAGGGGCACGTTAAGCATAGTCAATACCTTAATAAAAACCAAAAATTACAAAATAAAGCAAAGCTTTAAAATGCCATCTGAAAATCAACTGTTTGGTTAGTTTCATTATATGAACTCCTTTGAAAGCTACGCAAGAGCAATTCACACAACAAAATCTCTTCTTCCACAAAAAAGTTTCGTTTTAAGAAATACTGCAGATAGTACAGATTCTGTTGCTGCAGTTAGGAGGTAGTGAAACTTGGGCAATTCTGCCACTACTTCACTAAAAAGCTTAATTCTGTGGATGTCCCAGGTTTCTGAGAAGTAGAAAAACATAAGGTGAAAACACATGCCAAGTGAAATGCTTCCAAACATATTCCTGATGTGAGTTGTTATCTAGACTCAAATTTACTTCCCTTCACACATGCAACACTTTCTCACATCAATTTCTCACTTGCTTTCTACTGCAGGCTACAAAGATCAAAGCTTTCTTCAGCAACCTACTACATGTTCTGAGTTCTTCTCTTTCTTCACTTCCCTACAAGTTGCAAAGCTTCTGGAGAATCACTCTGCACAATGTTTCAATGCAATAATTAATTTTTCTTCTTCAAGAATATAATCCCAGAGATCTCTGATTCCCCTTCTGTGTGGAATTCAAAAGGAAAGCCACAACATCTGTCAACTTTGAAAACTGCATATTGCTTCTCTGGTGGTTTCTCTCACCTCTCAAAGCTCCTGTACTGTTGGCTCTGAGAATGAAAAGGTAGTTGCCTAACATGAACATTTTAAGAAAAAATAAGCTTGAATCATATAACCACTGGCCATGCATTATCTACTTAGACCTGCTTAATAATTTCTTATATTCTACAACTTTATATAAGCCTTTTTTTTATTAGCTACACTATGTTATTTCTAATATGGTTTGGTTTAAATTCTAAGTTTACCTACATTAAGCTTTTTAACATTAAATTCACCTTTTTAATGCTAGCAGCAGCAACTTGAACCCTTAGTCACATTTCAAAAGGCTGGATGAGCAAAAGACAGTGTGGCAGGTGCTATAAACTGTCCCACAAATCAGATTCTTAAACTGAGAAAATCTGAAAGGACATGGGGAACATAAAAGACTCCACTAACTGCCATCTGGAGAGTGATATCATTTGTGGAATAGGAAGAATCTGTGCCTATTTCTTTAGAAGAAGAAGTCCATTTTGTAAGAGGTGGTTACAATTTCTGGTCTAGAGCTCCCATGGCAGCTTAACAGAACACTTCTGTTGATGCATACTTTGTGCCTGCTTGTTGGAGGTAGCACAGTCTAGCAAACCACACAAAGAAACAGAATGAAAGAACTCCTGTATCACTTGACTTCGCCAGTGACATGTGGCATGGCTGTCATCAAAGTCTCTGATGTGTCAGGCAAGTCATTACTTTGTTTCACTGCCACAATCTGTAAAATGAGGGTAACATTTACTTCCCACTGGAATGTCATGAAGAACAGCAAGCATACAGTCATTTGAGTATGAAACATGTTATGACATATTCTGCTTAGATGGGAAAAATCCTGTTGCATTCAAATCTTTTCTCCCACAGAGTCAGAGAAGCTCACACAAAGCACGCTGACTTCTTCCCCGAGCTCTTACCGATGGGATCGTATCTGAGCAAGACCAGTTTTTCCTGCAGGCGGAGCCTCCTGATGTTGAAGCAGTAGCCTGTCTCCGCAGCGCTCTTCATCCTCACCAGAATGTACCTGAAGCCACAAGGGATGTCTCTGTGTCAGTGCACAGGCACTCAGTGAGGGCCCAGTGCATCTGCCAGGCCACGGGCCAATGGACACAGCTTGGCACAATCACATAGGACACTTCATTTCAACTTCAGGGATGGGAGTATCAAAACTACGTATGCTTAACTTTTAACACAGACAAACACTAAACCATAAGCTCCAGCAGCAAGTTTAAGTAAATAATTCCTCAACAGGATACAAGCCTAGAGAGAAGTAGCTCCTCCAAAAAACAGTGAGGTGGGAGGAAAAAAACCAGGAGAGATAAAAAGAAATTAGGGAAATCAGCATACAGTTGAGTCACTAAGGCTTAAAAGCTAAGGGCAAGAGAGGAAGGATGATGGTAGTTAAAGATGTTCAGGCTGTAGATAACACTGTATCACAGACTATCACTTCCTCATGCAGAGAGGAAGCTAAGCAGATAGGCTGGCACAAGAGGCATGCAAAAGGAGAAGCAGAACCCCTTGGCACCATCCATCCCACTAGAGATACAAAACTTGATATTAACCCAGCCAGGGGAATCCCCTTCCCCACTGGAGGGCTCTCAGTTTGTTGAGGGAGCAGGAGCCTGAGGAAGCTGCTCCACACCCCTAGTCTGGAAGTAAGCCAAGAGCCAAGCAACTTCCCAGACAGAGGTCATCTTCTCAAGTTTCAAAAGAAATGTTAAACCCTTTAACCAGTCTGTAAATGACATCTTCCATTTCAATGAAGAGATGGATACCTGTCAGTTCACTTTCCATTTTCCTGTATTTTCCTGTTTCTCACACAAAATATGGTCTGTCAAAATGAATCCGTTCTTCCTCACTTGTACAGCTCTGACCAGTTCTTCCTTAAGCTCCTCCTTTTCAGCTTTGCAATCTAATTTACTATTGAGTTCAAAATAAAGAGAAAGACACTGGATTCCTGAAGACAACTGACTGAGCATATCCTTGGGATTATCCCGGGTTGTTGTCCTCTCCTGTGCACTGCTGCAGGTGTGCTGTGAAGCTTCAGTAACCACAAAGACTCCTTTCCCTATATCTCACTCACTTCCTCAAAGCCTCTGTGCAATTTCCCCTTTCTGGGGGAATCAGTGGCATCAGTGTGGCCAGGCCTTGAAATTCTTGTGTACCACACATTTAAAGCCAAGCCCATTCTAAACAATACACCTTGCTCAAAAAAATTACTCCCCTGTGAAGGAATGTAACAAGGAGCAGAGGCAGAAAGCACTAGAAAGCTGTCAGGGCACAAGAAGAAACCCAAGGCGAGTGGAGAAGGATAAATAATATAAGAACATATTCCTGGGGTGCATATAGGACTGTAAGAGAACAGAAAGAAACATCGGGATGAAAAATAAAAGGGTGTGTGTGGTAGGAATCCCTACATTAACATTAGTAACACCATTTAAAAAAGCTACCTTTTCACCTTGCAGAAACCTCCTGGTTCGCTTTGTTTGTTTGTTTTTATGAACAGATAACAGTAGAACAGCCAAACTGCTCTCTGTCAGGCACATATTTGGGAAGTGCTTTAATTTAAAAGCCTGACAATTGCGCAGAAATTCTGCAACAGAACAGTCTGCTCAAATGTGGCAAGTGGTTGGTACTGGCTCTTCTGGGGGCAGAGTCTTAAAAAAACCAAAATACAGAAAATGTTCCAAAGGCCATAGATCCCAGGCCTGGGTGGTATCAAGTATAATACAGTCATACAGAATGCAACTTCAGGGAATGGGAAGATAGGAATGTGTTCACATAAATGTACCAGTTTAGCCTCTTGGATTTGTCTAGCTAATTTTCTTACAAAGAGCATTTTGGATCCAAGTCAGTTTCTCCACGTGATCTTGTTTCCTTGTGCCCACATTGTAAGAGCACTGGTGTGCTCAAAGTACATATTCCTTTCTTTCCAATCTTAACTCAGGTCAGAGGACTGTGACTGATTTTCTTCCAGAGCCCACTAACATCTCTGCTGAGCCAGACTACAGAGCAAACTAAGATGCGCAGAGCCAACAAAGACCCACACTGCACCTCAGTTTACTCTCCTCAGCTAAAAAGGTATGACAGGTGAACAACAGGAAAAATACTTGGATAATTTACAGCCTGCCTTTAATCACAGAGCACAGAGATGTGCTCCCCCCTGTGCAGGGCACTTTGGAGATTACTGCTGAGCTCAATGCGAGAGCCCATAGGACAAAACCTGCCTTTGCTCCAAGTGCAGAACCCATGGGAGAGTTTCACACCATTCTGTACTTACCTGTGAGAAGACTCGCATACAGAATGGCTAAGAGGATGCAGCTAGACTCAAAGACTGGAATTCTCTCAGGCATATTAAAGAAAAAACTAAAGAAGCTTAACATTTTGTAAAGATACAACATAACAGTAATCAAAAACTGGTGAGGAAAACCATCACTTACTTAGATTTGCTCTTGGCCACTGTTTTTTTTTTGCAGCATGAAGAAGAGAAAAATAGAAGAAACAGTTACCATTTTATCTTGTTTCCTTTATACACAACATACAAAGATTAAGTGTGTTCCATGGCCTGACTCCGCTAAAGCCCCAGAGCGATAGTGCAAAGAGATTTACTGTCATGATAAAGCACCACTCATTCTTCCACGGGCTGTCAGCTCCCTGCTCTTTCTGCCATTATGCCACCTTTGTAAGTGTCTGTGCAAATGCAGTGCCCAGCACGACAGGCTGCACTTGCTGCACCCTCCAGATGTTCTCAGGAAGTTTTCAGCTTCAGAGCCGAGTATGAATTCTCTGGGTGAATGTGTAGTTCAGACAGGTGAGTGAGGAGCACTGCTGGTGGAAACTGCAGTCCAGTCTCCCGGACTTGTTCCCACCCCCTCGGGCTCGGGTTCCTGCTGTGGTGCCAACACAAGGGTTGGGACAGAGGCAGAGCAGGGAGCCCTTCCCAGCGCAACCCGACCTTCCCACGGGCCTGCGTTGCGTTCGCTGATTTTTCTGTCACCTCACTGAATGTAATCATAAATCTGCAGCACAAATCCAAACCCCCACTAAAGTTACAAAAAAAAAAAAAAAGTTTATGTGTATTGTGTGTTTGTGCAACTCTCGTTTAGGTCACACTGTTCTTCCCCCGGGTCACGCTGGGAGGCCCCGCGGCCGAAGGAGGGGAAGGGCGGGGAAGGGTCGGGAGGGCTCGGGAAGGTCGCGCCGCCGGGGCCGCCCGCCCGCCCGCGCCC